ATACGATATTTTGCGTTGTATTATACGCGTATATACGTTGAGAGAGACGCCTATATTTCTTGCTTACTTGCTTCAAAATCATCATGTGAATTCGATTATTTTTTGCAGCGACGATGAGATGAGAACGCATCAGAAGAAATTTTCGATCGATCGATCGAGAGGTGATCGCCGTGAGCAACACAATTCGAACGATCTCTCTTTTTATCTACTCTTATTATTTACTATACTCGAACCGCGATCATTGAAATAAAAACTTTCCGTTCCATCAACAGATAAATAACAATAGTTATAAAAGTGCATATACGTATATATATATTTATATATATAATGCGGCGATACAATCGTGGTCGATCGATCCGATCGATGGATCACACAAAGTTTACGGTTTTTGTTCGATCTGTTCCGTTCCTTCACTCGTTTCGGATAAGACGTGGACGAGTTCGAAAGCAACAGTGGAGACACGATATATATAATATTATACATACTCTTCGATGGTTAATAATAATAATAATAATAATATTAATAATAATAATAATAATAGAAAGAAGAAGAAGAAGAAGAAGAAGAAAATCGCGCGAGAGAGTAACATCGCAGACAGTTATGATGAATCCAGCAAAAAAAAAAAAAAAGGAATAATGTGTCCCCAACCCCATCCACAGAACCACCTCCCCGCCCCTCCCCTTTCATACAATAGGAAATAGTTGAATACGTGAAAATAGCGATGATAAAAACAATTATGAAATAGAATTATTGTGTTCGCGAGCTCTGTCGAGGCGAGAGCCCTCCAACGTCGAAGAAACAAGCGAGCTCTATTTTTTATTTTTATTTTTTTTTATTTTTTTTTTTCGCGACTCTTGCTCGTTCATCTTCGACCGAGCCTCTCTCCCTTATGAATGTATATAGTGTGAAGTAGCTGGAATTCCCCGTTTCTCGACGATCTTTTCCCTTCGTTCGAGTCTTCCGCTTCGAATCGAATGTTGCCTTCGAATCGGTGTTCCCCTTTCTCCTTTAAACCACCCCGCTACACCCCTTCCCCCCATATTTTTTACCGAGAAGTTATTATTATATTATTAGAGAGAGAGATAATCGAGAATATCTTACACCTGTTGAGAATTATCCTTAGTATCGTGTCTCGAGAACCTGTCGAGATCGTCGGATATTTGGATAAGGGACGAACGAGAAAGATACTATGTTTCGATCGTTCGAGACGAGAGAGAGAGAGAGAGAGAGAGAGAGAGTAGTTAATTAAGTAAGGAGAACGAAAAGTGGTAGTTGGTTAGGAAGGGGCGGAATATCGT